TGGGTCTCCGACCCCGACCCCGACCTTGAACCGCAGGAATCCATCCTGCCTTGGCCCGGCCCTGCGGTACCTCTGCCCCTGAGTGACCGCCTTCTCCTCTCCTGCTCCGTCCACCTGGCTGCCTCTAACACCCTGACCACGCAGTCAGCATGAAAAGGCCCTCCGAGAAAGCTGTCCCCTTTCCTGTCGCAGAGGAGCTCGCGGGGAGAGCCTCTCCTTTAGCTTTGCTGAAAGAGCCTGGCTCGGTCGGTTTGTTTCAATCTTCGTCTAACTGAGGTTGGTCAATTAGCTCAGTTGGTTAGAGCTCAGTGTTGATAACACCAAGGTAAAGGGTTCAGATCCTTGTGCAGACCAGCCGCATTAAAAACAAACAAACAAACAAACAAAAAAAACCTTGTCTCACTGTACATACTGTTTCACCCAGTCTCCTTACATACTTCTCTGCTAAGGTTGTTTTTGTGACACTGATTCACCAAGTACATGGGTTAAGGACCAATCGAGGCATTCCCACCACAGTCATTTAATGAGCATATGCCGTGGGCTAGGTATTGTGCCAGGTACGAGGGACAGCATTGAACAGGACAGACTCAGTCCTCTAGTCCTCAAGGAGACAGGTGAACTAGAATCACAACACACCCGAGAAGTGAAAGAGGGGAAGTATGGAGACACCTTCCCTGGGAGGACACAGAGTCACGGATGACTCAGTCATCTAGCTGTTTTTTAGACTTTTTAAAAAAAAGTTTGTATATAAGTACACAGATCATAAGTGTACAGCTTAATCATTTTTCACAACGAGGATATTTCCTGCACAGCCTGATCTGATATCAATAAGCAAAACATTACTATTATCCTGGCTTCTAACACCATAAAATAGTTTTGCCTATTTTCTAGACTTTCAACCCATGGAGTTATATATTATGTACTCTTATGTATATGGCATCTTACACTCAGTATGTTTTGTGAGATTCACCCATGTTATGTTTAGCAGTAATTCTTTCGTTGTCACTGATGTGTAATATTCCACTGTATAACTTCGATCCTAATTTATCCATTCTACTGGACACTTGGGTTGATGGACACGGTTGTTTCCACTTTGGGGTTATTTTGAATCCCGCTGCTACAGACATTCTTGTATACGTCTTTTAGTGTTCCTAAGAGTGGAATTGCTGGGTGTGTGTATGTTCAGCTTTAAATGTAGTGCCAAACAGTTCTCCAAAGCGGTTGTGCCAATTTACACTCCCACCAGTAGTGCGTGAGGTTCTGTTCCTACACATCTTTATCATATCAATACTTGATGCTGTCTCTCTTTTTCACTGTAATTGTGCGGAGTGTGTATCAGTGATGCATTGAGGTTTTAATTTGCATTTCCCTGATGACTAATGAACTATTCATTTTATAATGTATCTACTAGCCATTTGAATATCCTCTTTATGAAGTGCCTGTTCAATTTGCCCATTTTTCTAACAGGTTGTCTTTTTCTTACGAGTTTGTTAAGAGTTCTTGAAATATTTGGGTATGAGACATTTATTGGATATGTATTTTTTTCAACCTTTCCCCTCTCTCAGTAGATTGCCATTTCATTCTCCTAATGTCTTTTGATGAACAGAACTTCTTCATTTTAATGTTTTCCAACTTATCATTTTTTCCTTTATGGTTGTATTATGCATATCTAGTTTTAAAAAATCTTTGAGGTCTGGCCCATGGCTCACTTGGGAGAGTGTGGTGCTGATAACACCAAGGCTGCGGGTTCAGATCCCTATATAGGGATGGCTGGTTAGCTCACTTGGGAGAGCGCGGCGCTAACACCACCAAGTCAAGGGTTAAGATCCCTTTACCGATCATCTTTAAAAAAAAAAAAAAAATCTTTGCCTATCCCAAAGTCAGGAAAATAATTTCCCGTATTTTCCTCTAAAACCTTTATTGTTTTACCATTCACATTTATACCTACTGTCCATTTGAAATTAATTTTTGTATGGTGTGAGGTGTGGGTCAAGATTGATTTTTTTCTCCACAAAGCTACCTAAATTGATCTAACACCATTTATTGAAAAGACCATCTTTCCCCACTGCACTTAAGGGTTACCGCTGTCATAAGTCAGCAGATTGTACAGATGTGTGTATGTTCCTGGACACCTGCTCTTCCATTGATCTCTTTGTCTACCCTGGCATACTGTTTTAGTTCGTTTTGTGTTGCTATAACAGAATACCTGAGACTGGGTAACTTGTAAGGAAAAGAGGCTTATTTGGCTTACGATTCTGGGACAGCAGCATCTGGTGTGGGCCTCAGGCTGCTTCTACTCCTGGTGGAAAGTGGCAGGCAGCCGGCGGGTACAAGCAGATCACATGGCGAGAGGAAGCAAGGAAGAGAGGAGGTGCCAGGGTCCTTTAAACAACAAGCTCTCGTGGGAACTAATAGAGCGAGAACTCACTCATTAATCCTCCCTCCCCCAGGGAGAGCATTAATCCATTCATGAGGCCCCATGACTCAATCAGTTTCCAACACTGCCACATTGGGGATCTTAATTTCCACATGAGTTTTGGTGGGGACAACACATCTAAACTCCATCACATACCAATGTCATGCTGCCTTAATTACTGTTGCTTTATGATAAATCTTTATTATTCTGATAGTGAAAGTCCTCAGCATTGTTCCTCAAGATCTTAGGTATCTTTCTCCAAACTTCCCTCCTAAAGCCTTTTTTTAAAATTTAGAAAAAGTAGTCATTTTACAATCTCAAATGGGGACTAATGTACAAGGGTATATAATTAGCACTATTTGTAACTGTATCCGGCAATAAACTCACTGCTGACACAATCTATATTACATTCAGTGACTTCATATTTACATGAGACTTACAGCAAAGTAAAAACAAACTAATTCATCATTTTATCTTAAAATAGCCTTTTATATATTGCTTCAAAACAATGGCAATTTTTTAAAACTAAGAAATAAGTTTTCCAAGGACCAGTTTGCTATTTTTTGAAAATACAGCAACATTATTTATAGTGCTTCCCATTTATGTTTGGTCAGTAAGATCATGTTCCTGTGTGGCTGAAATACAGCTAAGGTTTTAGATCTTAACAACCAAAGTAACAATACTTTTGATCTGTGATTGAATTTAAAGTATTGGGTGCTTTTATTTACACACACACACACACACACACACACACACACACAAGCCTTTTCACATTTGTAAGTCTTCAAAATGTAAAATAATGTAGTGCTCAAAGCATATTTGCCTTGCCATATATTCATTAAACATGATTTATTTTAATACGGTTCATAAGACTTTAGTTAATTAGCTAGAATTCTGTGATTGTTTCCTGCCTGCTAGAATTCAGTCTTAAATTAGTTTGACCTTATAGCAAAATCAGTAATTTGGAATTTATTTCACAAAATCAATCCCAAGATTTCCTGGGCATTTTTGAATTACTTCACTACTTTAAAATATAAGTAACAATGTAATCTAGAAAAGTGATTACTTGTGTCACAATTACCTGGGGTGCTCTTTAAAAATGCAGATTTTTGTCCCACTTCTGAACCATTGAATAGGACTCTCCAGGGTTATCTAGGGTTTTTTGTTTGTTTGTTTTAGGGGAGTCTTTTTTTGGTGCTAGCCAGTACAGGGACCTGAATCCTTGACCTTGGTGTTATAACACCGTGCTCTAACTGAGCTAACTAGCCAGCCCTCCATATTTTGTAAAAGCTCCCTAGATGATAATAATATGCAGCTTGGTGTGGAAACCACTGATGCCTACTAGACCAGTCGTTAGGTATGTTAAAATCGTGGGGTACTAGTTTGTTTGTTTGTTTATCAGCAGCTGGCCATTATGGGGATCTGAACCCTTGACTTTGGTATCATAACACCACACTCCAACCAATTGTGGGGTACTTGTTTAAAATGCAGATTCCCAAGAGTCACACCCAGAGATTTTATTCAGTAGACTTGAGATGAGGCACAGAAGCCAGCATTTTAAACCATCATCACAGTTGGTCCTATATTAGTTTTCTAAGCTACATAACAAATCACCACAAATTTAGTGGCTGAAATCGTCACCTAGTTATTATCTCAAAGTTTCTGTGGATCAAGGGCAATGTTTGACTGGGTCCTCTGCTCACAGTCTCACCTGGCAGCAATCCAGGTGTTAGTTGGGGCTGGAGTGTCATCAGAAGCTCAAATGGAAAAAGATCCATTTCCAAACTTCCTCAGGTTATTGGCCAAATTCATCTCCTTGCAGTTGTAGGACTGAGGTCCGTTTCCTTGCTGGCCATCAGCTGGGGGCCACTCTCAGCTCCTAGAGGCTGTCTGCAGTTCCTTGACATGTGACCCTGTCACGTGGCAACTTCTTAAAGTCAGCAAGGGAGTCTCTCTCTCCCTCCTGCTAATAAATTGTAACTACACACACTCACACACACACACACACACACACACACGCATGCTTACTTGCATACACAATATTCGTATATATGTTATTTATTCTATATACCTATATAGTATATATCATGTGTATGCAGGTATATAGACACATACATCACCTATAGTAATGTAATCACTTGAGTGACGTCTCATCACCTTTGTTATATTCTACTGATTAGAAGTGAGTCATGAGTTCTTCCCACAGTCACAAGTGTGAGCAAGGGGGCCACCCTAGGGTCTGTCTCCTACAGTGTGCAAACCACTCTTTGAGAAACACTGTATTGTGTGTGTCAAGCTATAGATGAATTATATTCAGTGTTTTAAATGGCATTGTCCTGCAATCCCTAATGAATCCTGCCTAGACAAATGTTTTAGCAAGGGTTTGAGACCAAAACTTAGCCTTTTGAAACCAAAATTCTTAAATAGAAAATCAAAGTCAGGTGAAGTGATAATTCATTCATTTAAGGGTGTAAAACCTCTTTCAAATAATTTAAATCTTTAAACAGATCAGTTTTTAGCACTCAACTTAAATACAATGCTTTTTGGTTTGACATACAGTGTATTAGTTTCCTATTACTGCTGTAACAAATTACTACAAATTGAGGACCTTCACACAACACACATGTATTATCTTACAGTTGTGGAGGTCAGAAGTCTACGATGGATCAACAGGGCTGCATTCCATCTGGAGGGTTTAGGAGAGAAGCCATTGACTTACCTTGCCCAGCTACAGAGGCTGCCCACATCCCCCTGCTCCTGCTTATGCATGGCACCGACCTCTGCTTCTGTGGTTATATCTCTCTCTCTCTGACCCCTCTGCCTTCCTCTTATAAGGACCCTGGTGATTACATTTGGACCACCTGGATAATCCAGGATACTCTTCCCATCTCAAGATCCTTAATCGCATCTGCTAAGTCCCCTTTTGCCATGTGGCAACATATTCACAGTTCCAGGGATTGGGACGTGGGCATCTTTGGCGGACCATTATTTTGTCTACCACAGATAGTGGTTCCAGCTTAACAGGAATCTAATATGAATTATAAAAGATATATATTCTAACCATATGACTTCACAGGCTTCAGTACATTCCCCATATAATAGAAATTGGCAACCAGTTTGATATTAGACAATACTTAATATACTTTGGATTTTATACAGCAAAACTTTGTAACATTTCCTTCATATAAGTTCCTACATATAATATTGGAAAAGCATTCTAGAAACCACTAAAAGTAGCATGCTGCTTCTTTTTTGAAGAAGCTCTTTACTACTTTTTTTTTTTCATCAAATCAGTTATTATCTACAAAATACGTACTTTGGTATATATCGTTCTACTTAATTAATTTTTATTTTTGGAAAAGCATTCTAGAAACCACTAAAAGTAGCATGCTGCTTCTTTTTTGAAGAAGCTCTTTACTACTTTTTTTTTTTAATCAAATCTTAGTTATTATCTACAAAATACGTACTTTGGTATATATCGTTCTACTTAATTAATTTTTATTTTATTTTTATTTTTTATTATTATTATTGTTTTTCGGTGGCTGCCCAGTATGGGGATCTGAACTTGTGATATTGGTGTTATAAAGCTGAGCTCTGACTATGAATTTTTTAAAAGCACTAGAAAAAAGTGGCTACATATGAGGCCACACAGCAAATCAGAGAGTAGACAGAGTTAGTGATTGGACCTTCCTGTTGGGGATTTGGGTACATTATCTTGTCTGTGTGACAACTGTATCTCGACATATGACAACTATTACTAAGTCCTGGAAAGATTAAAGTGTGTTTCAGTGTGTAATAGCTCTACAGCCCTGGCTGCACCAACAGTCGACTTTTGGTGGCTTAACAGCTGCTTTGCTCTTTCAAATGTCTTCTCTGCTTCCTGTACCCATTCCTGTTGTTCTTTCTGCCCCCTTTGCTGGTGCAGTTGACATTTTTTGTTGTTGTTTTTGTTGTTGTTGTTGTTTTTAACTTTGATATACGTTCATGAATCATCAGCATCTCATGTCTTATATTAGTCAGCTTGGTAAAATAGTGGTTAGCATCAGTGAACAAAGCATTAGTGTCCATCACAGAATGATATTCTTTAAATTTTGAAACCTCTTATGTCAGTGTGTCTAATAATACAACTCGTTTCTGTATGACTTCCCAGAAGGTTTGTTTTGACCTCTGCAAATCCAGCAGAGTGAGAAAGCAGCCCTTTGCCAGCTGCTACACAGCTCTAGAGCCAGTTCTCCACCAGCCCTTCATCTAAAGAAGTGTCAATAGAATACTACAGCTCCCTCTTGGAATGGGGCAAGTTTTGCCAGGCACATTCTCCCAGAAACATAGGCCGAAAGAGCCTCCACCATCGGGGACATCCCCCGTCATTGTGGTGGGAAGAGAACATGGCAAGTTGCCCATCTCAGGAATTCTTGGTACTTTGCATTTCCATTTAAATTTAGAAGGAGTTTGACAACATTTCCACCAAAAAAACCCCAAAACAAAACCCTCCTGGAATTTGATATAGCATTGAACTAAAGATCAGTTTGGGGAAAATTAACATTGTAATATTGAGTCTTATAGGCCATGAGCATGATATATCCCGCTTCGATATCTAGAGTATTTTAAACACATGTAACCCACAAAATTTTCTGAGCATTTATTATATGGCAGGCACCATTAGCACTTTACAGAAATTATCTCGTGTAATCTTCACAATGATGCTGAGAAGTAGGTTCTAGTATTATTTCCATTTCGCAGATAGAGAAACTGAAGTTTAGCAAGATTGCCAAAGGCCAAAGGCCATGACTGAGAATTCGGGCATTCTGCCTGCAGTCTGCACTCATCACATCAGCACTGTGTGATACTACCTCCCTGAGCTGACAGCTGAGGGGTGGAAGGGTGGATGGATGGGGTCATTCAGGGGGAAGTGGACTTGGAGGAAAAGTTTCCCAAGATTTACTGCATGTGCTCTCTCTCTACTGCTCAGCGTCTGTCAACTGGATACATCATTACTTGTCCAAATAGTAACTGTCCTTCTTCTCTCATGTTAGAATGTCTGCAGGAAGTCCCTCACAAGAGCTGCCTGCCAGCTGCCCTTTCTCAGATCCCACATGCACTCCTGACCAGGTAGAGCAGAGAACAGCCACTCAGCTGGTCGTGCTGAGCTCATACACTGTATGTCTGACCACACTACACAGACCTGGGTTCATCCTTAAACCAGTTCCAGTCACAGTGGTGCCTGACACTAACCCCTGAGGGATGAAGGACCCATTTAGAGACTGATCCCCTGTCAGGCATTAGGAAAGAACTTCCAGGAGCCCACCCACTGGGTAAGTACAGCTTTCATGATTCTGTACAGAAAGAGTTCTGTCCCTTGTAGGATGGCTGTTCCATGAGGTCAAGACGGGATCTCCTCCCTTCTCCCGCTTCACCAATGCCTGGACTCAGAGGGTTAGTTTTGAGCCCTTCACTATGGCATCATCGACCTCCCTCCCAGCTCCTCGCTCCCAGTCCAAGAAGCCACTGGGCAAGATGACTGGTGAGTGGAACCAGACTCCTAATTCTGCTCCTGTTCCTAAGAATGTAGTCCTCACTGTCTATAGTAGCGAGGTGGGATTCCCGCCCGGTCCGAACACAGGGGGAGAGATGCAGGAAGGCTGATGATGGGGGAAGCTCCTGACTTGACGTCAGTGCCTGGACGCTCTGTGGAGAGTGTGGAGGGAAGGCAAGCATCAGTGGAATCTTTAATCCTTTTGGCTCAAAGGTTTTCCAGGCCTGCTCCTCTAATTTTCCCAGCCTGGAAATCACTATACTGAGTCCTTAACATTGTGTCTCTTGTCATCTAAATCTTTTTTCCAGAACCACTCAGAGGAAGGAGCCAGGCAGACAGAGAAAACTAATCAATCTCCAGAACACCAAACTATCCTTATCAACAGCCAGGGAAGCTAAGTGTTAATATGATTATGGAGTACTCACAATATACTGGACACTGCATTATCTCAGTGAACCTTCAACAACTAAAATGAACCCATTAACAGATGAGGAAATGGAGACATAGACTCACTTGCTTAGGGTCATATAGAAAGCAAAGAGCAGGCCCACAATTGAATGTGTGTGCCTGACTCCAGAGTGCAGGCTCTGAATCACTAAGCTCTGTGCTCTTCAGGAGCTCTGAACAGTAGTGCTCTTCATACTTCTGTGTTGCCCATTTAGCAACAATCTAGGATTTCTCGGGGCCTAACAGATGCCACTCCTCCCCACCCTTTCCTTCCTATAACAGGTAACCCACCTTAATCTAAATTCACCCCCCTCAGTGCTAGAAGTGGGCATTGGGACTCATTGATCCTTACTAGGATCATGGCTCTACTTACAGACTCACAGGTGGTTGACTAGTCAGCTCTAGTGGAAAGTTCTGTGTAAGGTGGGCTGGGGGTACCAAAGGTCCTGGAGTAGGAGAAGGCCATCTCTCTTAATCAGGCTGGTAAAAGCTTCCCACATAAGGAATGTTCCTGAAAGCTTTAAAGACAGAGGGAACTTTTAGACAAGTTCTGAAGAATGTACAAAATTAGCAGAGTTGTAGGACTCTGAGTATAAGGTGTTTCCAGTGCAGGAGATGGACTGGAGTCCTGTCCATCCTCCCTTTGCAGTGGGGCTCCTCCCTGCGTGGTCAGCCTAAGCAGACTGTTTCCTCCCACACTCCCGCAGACTGGTTCAGGCAGGCCCTGTTGAAGAAGCCCAAGAAGAAGTCTGTCTCTCCTGAAAGCCCTTCCAGTGATGTTTCACAGCCAGTCTCACAAGACAGCCCCCCACCCCTGGGCCTCAGTTCAGTCATGTCTCCCACCCCGCCACCAACAGCACCAGCAGCAGTGGCCAGAAGCAGCAGCCGCTGGAGCAAGGACTACGACGTCTGTGTGTGCTACAGCGAGGAGGACCTGGTGGCCGCCCAGGAGCTAGTCTCCTACCTGGAGGGCAGCTCTGCCAGCCTGCGCTGCTTCCTGCAGCTTCGGGATGCAGCCCCCGGTGGTGCCATCGTGTCTGAGCTGTGCCAGGCACTGACTGGTAGTCACTGCCGCGTGCTGCTCATCACCCCAGGCTTCCTTCAGGACCCTTGGTGCAAGTACCAGATGCTGCAGGCCCTGACTGAAGCCCCGGGGGCGGAGGGCCGCATCATCCCCCTGCTGTCAGGCCTGACCAGAGCCGCCTACCCCCCAGAGCTCCGATTCATGTACTACGTGGATGGCAGGGGTCCCGATGGTGGCTTTCGCCAAGTCAAGGAAGCTATCATGCGTTGTAAGCTATGGGAAGGGTAGGGGAGGGGGATTCAGCCACAGTGTCTGATCTACCTGGGCTTTTAGTAGACAGCTGCTGTGTAGCCTAGTAGTGAAAAGTGGAGGCTTTGGGAAGTGTCTGGGTTTGTATCCTGGCTCTTTTACCTGTTAGCATATGAGAAGTTATTTAACCCCTTCGTGCCTCAGTTTCTCCATTGGCCATCAGGATTCCATGACTGTAAAAGGGGAAAATAGTATATACACTAAATAAGTGTTCAGAACACTGCCTGGCACATGTAAATTATCCGATAACAGGTACAGCATAGCACATATCAGGACCTCATTAAGTATTAGCTGTAGTAGTAGTAGTAAGAGTGGTATGTTTCTCTCACTGAGATCAGGTTGGAGATGTCCACCAAGAGTTGGGAAGATATCAGAAGTGACATTGGTTTAAGGCAAAATTGTGCAACATTATAGGAAAGAATTGCATATGCTAAGTGTATCCAGGGGAGGGACATTGTATTACAGTGGGTTTGGAAGTAGCATAACAGATAAAGAGGTAGAAGAGGCAGGGACATGTGGGAAGGAACAGAGATGCTGGGTTTGGGGGGCATTTCAAGCCCTCTGATTATCTGGTGTCTTTCAGATTTGCAGACACTCAGCTGACACTTCTTATATCACCGTGGGACCCAGAAAGTTGGAAGAAAACTGGAAATGAAGAGCCCATGCAGGGCCCTGGATTCCAGCAGATGTGACAAGAGGCATCAGGAGCCAGTGTCTGTGGCACTTTGTATGTGACCTGGGATCAGTTTACCCATTAGGCTCCCATTACTGTGGGCTCCTCAGGAAGGCCATGGGGAGGGCTGGGACTCCCCCAGGAAGGCCATGAGGAAGCTGGGGACTCCCCCAACGAAGGCCATGAGGAAGCTGGGGACTCCCCAGGAAGGCCATGAAGAAACCAGAAATTGGAGGTGGTGCTGATTCCAGAGGGTCACTAGTGCTGTGCCTCCTGCCTAGTGGGGCAGAAGTCTGCACACACCTATGTCTTCTTCCCCTGGAATCGGGCACTGGTGTAGACAGGCGTCCCTCCCAAAGAGGGAACTCACCCAATTGATGAGCTAGAAGCCTAAACTGGAAGCCTCAGGGAAGGTTCTCCCAGTTGCCTGGGAGGTCAGGCAGAAAGCAGCAAGGACCAAACCCTTCAGACTCACACTACTGCTGCTTTTCCCAGAGATGGCAGGTCACTTCAGGAAGGTGTACGAAAGACACATCCAGCACTGCACTGTTTTATTTATTGCATGAGTGTTGTTAAAGACACAAACCTAGAAGCCATTCTGAATGTACAGGACAGGGGAAGGGGCAGGTGGGGTGAAGAGAAGAAAAGTTAGGGCTCATTCCCTTCACCTGGGATCAAAAGCCCACCTATGCAGTGACATCTGGAGGCCTCACATGGGTCTGGCTAGAGCTGATGCTTTTGCAGTAGCTGTCTTCTCCTTCGGACTGAAACGAATTGACATTGACTGTGTTCCTTGTGGGACAGGGAAGGTTTCATTCACCTGTTCTCAATAAGTCTGTTGTTGAGCTGAAATGAATTTCATTATCTCTCCCAATGTATACTTTTGGGCCTCTTCTCTCACTTCCCCCTATCATGTCCCCTCTTTTTTTATCCTGCCCCTCCACCCCCAGGTCCCCTCTTTTAGTGAAAAACTTATTTTTTTAATTATGTCATTTTATTACATACAAAAGGACTAAAGAATAGTATAACGTACACTCACGTACCTACCACCCAGCTGAAGTATAACCTTATCTCCACGATGCTCCCTTTGCGCCCTTAATTATATTCCCCTCACTTCTCTAGCCAGAAATAACCACTATTCTGAACTTTGAAATTTATCATCCTCAGCCTTTTTCTACAAATTTACTATGTATGTATGCATCCCTACCAATATATTGTATAGTTTCATGGTGTTATACTTTATATAAATGGCATTATAGTTTGTATTCTGCAGATTCCTTTCTTTGTTCACCATGTGTGTAAGATTTATTCATGTTGATGTATGTCATTCCAGTTAATTCACTTTCATTCCATTATGTACCATTATATACAATTATATATTATATAATATATAATGGTTTATATACCATTATATATTATTCCATTATATACTTCCCTTCCATTATATACTTCCATTATATACACTATTAAGTCACACATTTTTCTACAAATGGATGTTTAGTTGTTTCTAGTTTTTTGCTATTAAAAACAATGAGCCTATGAATGTTTTGTACTTTTCCACAAGCCAGATTTTCTAAGATTTAACCTAGATGGGTAACAGCCGAATAGTAAAGAACATACATCTTGTTTTACTAGAAGATACCAAAATTTCTTCCAAATTGGTTGTGCCAATTTACATTCCTGTCATCTGTGTATGAGTTCCCACTTTTTTTTTTTTTTTTTAAAGATGACCGGTAAGGGGATCTTAACCCCTGACTTGATGGTGTCAGCACCACGCTCAGCCAGTGAGCAACCGGCCATCCCTATATGGGATCCGAACCCGGGGTCTTGGTGTTATCAGCACCACACTCTCCTGAGTGAGCCACGGGCCGGCCCTGAGTTCCCACTTTTTTATGTTCTTGTCAACACTTAAAATTATCAGATTTTAAAATGTTTGCTAATCTGGTGGATGAAAACTGGTATCATATGGTCATATTCTTTTTTTTTCCTTTTTAGCTTTTTTATGAAAAACTATATATGTATCATATACTAGAAGGAAAAAGGCTGATGAATCCCCATAAGCCTATTACCCAGCTTCAGCTTTGTGTGTGTGTGTGGCTGGCCAGTAAGGGGATCCGAAACCTTGACCTTGGTGTTATCACCACCATGCTCCAATCAACTGAGCCAACTGACCAGGTCCCAGCTTCAACAATTACCCCAACTTTTAGCTAATCTTTTATCAACAACAGCCCTACACATTCCCTAACTCCCAGATCATTTTGAAACAAACCCCAAGCATTGTTTCATTCCTAAATATTTAAGTGCATATCCCTTGTAAATTATTACAAGTTTTTAAAAAAGCATGACAATAGTATCTTTTAAAGAATAGCAGTTTTACTCTTCATTTTAATATAAAATATTCCACCTATTTGTAGTCTGTGCTTTTTGCGTCTTACTAGGAAGTCCTTCCCTACAACTGTATTTTCTTCTAGAAGTATTTCTTTTCCCATTTAGGTCTTTAATCCACCTGGATCTTTTCTTTGGGTTGTTTTTGTTGCTCTTGGTTTTTAAGTCGGAGATCCAGTTTGGTTTTTTTCCCCACTAGAATAACCATCATTCACTAAATGACTAGTTCATACTTCCTCACTAATTGTGAAGTCACCACCGTCAGATTGTTATATGTGGAGACCATTACTGGGTTCTCCATTCTCCTCCATTTGTGTTCATGTATCCCTGTTTTGGTGCTAAACTGACTTTCTACTACTGTTTTTAATAGGCCTTGATAGCCTGTAGGTCAATTCTTCTTGCTCTTATCAAAATCACTTTGCCTCTTCTTGTTCCATTACTCTTCCATATAAATTGTTTATTCAGTTTGTTGGGTTCCAGGAAAAAGCCTGTTAGTATTTTTATTGGGCTTACATGGAATTTATAGATTTAGGAAGAGCAGGTGTTTTTACGACGGTCTTCCTACCCATAAAAATGATATGTCTCCATTTATTTATGTCATTAAGTGTATTTCAATATAGCTTTAAAATCTTTTCCACATTGGTCAGTCTCATCTTTTATTAGATTTCTTCCTTAGTACTTTGTATTTTCTGTTGCTACTATAAAAGGTATTTTTTAGGGCCAGCCCGGTGGCGCACTCGGTAGAGTGTGGTGCTTGGGAGCGCAGCGGAGCTCCCACCGAGGGTTCAGATCCCATATAGAGACTGGTCCGCTCACTGGTTGAGCACGGTGTGGGCGCGACACCGAGGGTTGCAATACCGTTGCCGGTCACGAAAAAAGACAAAAAGGAAAAAAAAAAAAGGTATTTTTTAAATTATATGTTGTCTATGTTTTTTAATCTATCAGTGGTGTAAACAATTGTAATCTATTTTGCATAGTGATCTAATACAAGGGTACTTCAAAAAATTCACGGATTCGTATTATTTTTCTTTTTCTTTTTACTATTTTGGTTGCTGGTTGGGTATTTTGGTGGGGGGTGGGGACAGCTGGCCAGTACAGAAAACCAAACCCTTGACCTTGGTGTTAGCACATTCTAACCAGCTGAGCTAACCAGCCAGCCCTGGGGCATATTATCTTTTAATTCCATTTTTTCAAAAACTTTTTGAAGTACCCTTATGTTAAACAATATGCTGAATTTGTTATTCTATAATATAGAGTATAGATTTTATTGGGTTTTCTATAAAGTCATACAATTTGTAAAACAAAACAAAAAACTTTAGTTCCCTCTGTCTTTCTGTGCTTCCTATGACCTCCAGTAAAACGTTAAAGAAGTGACAATAGCAGCCATCCTTGTCTCACTCCTTATTTTAAAGTGAATGCCTCAAACGTTTCACCATTAAATGTGCTTGTTGTAGGTTGTTGGCACATATTTTAACAGGTTAGAAGTTTCCGGCTGTTCCTAGTTGGCTAAGAATTTCAATCAATATTTTCCACATCTACTGAGATGTCTTTCCCCTTTCAGTGGTTAATTCAACGAGTAACATTAGATTGTAAGCCAGCTTTATATTGCTAGTGTAAACTTGACCAGGATCTTACCTTTTTTATAAATCATGAGATTCAGTTTGCTAACACTTTAGGATTTTTACATCTATGTTCATACTACAGGATTGGCCCTTAATTGTACTTTCTTGCATTATCCCTTTCTGGTTGTGTTACCAAGGTGTATATCAGCTTTATGAAATGGTTGGGGTGGGATGGGGGTGGGGTGGCTGGCCAGTTAGCTCAGTCAGTTAGAGTGCGGTGTTTTAACACCAAGGTCAAGGGTTTGGATCTCCTTACCAGCCAGCCACCGAAAATAGTAGAGGGGGAGTGTTTTTTTTTTCTATTCTTTGAAGAATTTAAGGTTGGAATTAATTGTTCCTTAAATATTTGGTAGACTCACCTGTAAAGCATTTTCTTAAAGGTAAGACTTAAAACTACAATTTCAATGTCTTACAGAGTTATAGATTTAGATTTTCCATTTCTTCTGGAGTCCATTTGGTATAGAATAAGTAGTCAATAAAGACTACAGGATCACCTTAAACAGATTTTTTAGTTTGTGTTTCCTGGATCATGTGGGCAATTATGAGTCTGCACAAAGACTCACATGTGGTCATGAATTCTTAGATTTTTTTTCCTTCTCTCTGGAGCAGTGGTTGAGGCAGATAAATTTCTGAATCACATTTTCTCCTTTAGTGGGGTAGCTTTTTTTTTTTTAATAGTTGCCCCTTTTATTGAAGTGGTGGATCTTTAGAGATTTTAGCTCTATGGAAGTTCTCGATTCCAACTCTTTGCATAAGCCCAGCTCTTGTCTTGTGCCCCTTGGATTGTGTCCTAGATTTCTAGAGATCAGCAATCGCCCTTAGAATAGCTTCCAGCTTCAAAATCCACTAACCATTCTATAGATTCAAGCTTCCATCACTTTGTTTTCCGAAAATTTTATTTTCTTGAGAGCCCAGGATGTTTTTCAATTTTGCATCCAGAATGTTTAGGTGTTTTGAAGCCAACTTGTTTTCAATATATCTAGTATGTGATAATGTCTGAAATGGAAGCATCCAATCCTTCTTTAGACCAGAAGAAAAGATTTAGGAGAAATTTTGAGATTCCTCAGGAAGACGGAAGGATTAAATGCTTATAGAATAGGGCTTTCCAGTAATAATGTAATACAGCATTGTCCAGTAGAACTGTCTGTGATGATGAAAATGTCCTACATCTGTGCTAATATGGTAACCACGTTTCCAGGTCTCTTCACATGGCTGATTCCTTCTCATCATTCAAGTCTCAGCTCAAATGTCAACTTCCGAGAGGCCATCCACAATCACCTTATCTAAAGTAGTCCTACCTTCAGGCTGTATCACACTGTCCTGTTTTATTCTATTAATAGCACTTAATCATTATCTAGAATTTTGTTTCCCTAACGCCACCTCCATTTATTATGAATTCTATGAAATTAGAGACTTTCTCTTTCTTGTTCAGGACTAATAGTGGCTGGCATATAAAAAGTGGAGGCCTAGAGACTGTAACTGACTTCCCCAAAGTTGCACAGCTAGTCAGTGTTGGGGCCACGCTTCACGGCTCCCAATTCAGGGCTCTTTGTGTTAAAATATAACTACTCTGCTAAAATTCTNAAAAAAAAATTAAAAGAAAGGAGGAAAAGAAAAGGAAACAAGAAAATGCACAGACATTTTCACAAGATCAGGGTCTTGGAGTCAGCAGGTTTTGTTATGCCATTGCCCTCCAGGATCTTTTGTTCTAGTCTTGCATATAGTTTATAACCTCTTATTGTATGTTCCCAGAAGGTGAGGAATGTATCCATGAAACCTGTAAACAAATGACAAATGTTTTTTGTTAAAGATAATTATTCCGATCCTAAGACTCCCCTAATAATGCTCTCTGATTCACAAAACAGGATTAAATAATCAATCCAAAAATCCAACTGTCACTAACACATGGTACACTTTATTATTGACCAAAACCTGAAAATTACATCTTGTTGCTAACGTTGAAAATTGCAAAAATTGCCCCTCCCCCATTAGATCTGCCTGAAAAAATAGTCAAAATAAAACACTGGCAATGTTTGGCTGAGTAAAACTGGTGGAAGTTTCAAATCTACTTAACAAAATTTAGATCTGTCAAATAACTCCAAGGAAAAACGGACTAGCCAGAAATAATGGCCACGAAAGAAACTTACAAAAGCAGAAATCACAGGTAAAATTTTTATATGATCAAAAAAAAAAAAAAAAAAAAAAANTTATTTTATTCTCATATCTTGCTCTTGTGTTAGGAGGCCAAATTGGGTTGGATCTCTCTGACACACTAATTAGAACTGTTTTTAATATTATCTCCTGACCCTCAAATTATTTCATTTCCTCTGTGACCTGGTTCTGGTTGTTTATCTTGTTTGTTCTTTTTCTTTTTCTTTTTTTTTTTTTA